CTGTTCCTAAATCTGTCAAAGAAGCTTTGTCTCTTCCTGAATGGCATCATGCTATGGTTGAGGAAATGAATGCTTTGGATCTTAATGGTACCTGGGATTTAGTAGACTTGCCTACAGGGAAGAAATCTATTGGATGTAAGTGGGTCTTTACTGTTAAGGATACCCTGGCGGATCTGTTGCTCGGTTGAAATCCCGATTAATCGCGAAGGGTTATGCTTAAACCTATGGTGTTGATTATGTTGCTAAATTAACATTTGTGAGGTTACTTATTTCACTCGCTGCAACTCATGATTGACACTTACATCAGTTGGACATTAAAAATGCATTCTTGCATGATGACATTCAGGAAGAAGTTTATATCGAGCAACCTCTGGGATTTGTTGCTCAGGGGGAGTATGACAAAGTTTGTCGACTTCACAAGTCTCTTTATGGTCTGAAACAGAGTCCTCGTGCTTGGTTTAGGAAATTCAGTCAATCAATTGAACAGTTTGTAATGATAAAAGGCAAATCAGATCATTCTATCTTTTACAGACAAACAAAAGAAGGTATCACATTGCTTGTGGTGTATGTCGATGATATTGTGATTACAGGAAGTGATAATGCAGGTATTTTGGCCCTTAAAAATTTTCTGAACAGTCAATTCGATCTTGGCTCATTGAAATACTTTTTGGGGATTGAGATAGCACGGAGTAAGAAAGACATATTTCTATCTCAACGTAAACATGTACTTGACTTACTAGCTGAGACAGGGAAATTAGGGGCAAAACCGAACAATACTCCCATGATTCCCAGTGTGCAACTCACTCACGAAAGCGTGTTATTCGAAGATCCAGAAAGATATAGAAGATTGGTTGGAAAACTTAATTATCTCGCAGTTGCCCGTCCAGATATTGCGTACTCAGTGAGTGTAGTGAGTCACTATATGTCATGTCCCACAGTTGATAATTGGAATGCTGTAGAACATATATTATGTTACTTGAAGGGGGGCACCGGGATGGGGTATTTATCAAAATCATGATCACATGAGAATAGAATGCTTTGCAGATGTTGATTGTGCTGGATATAAAGATGATAGGATATACTTTAGAATATATTGGGAATATACTTTAGATATTACTAGTATAGTACCCGTGCATACGCACGGGAAGAAACAGTCGATGCATATATTTTTACTCATGATTTAATTAAATATTAAAATTAAAAAAAAAACATTTTAGATTTCTACATTTTCGATGAAGAGTATATTAGGGAAAATTAACAGACACCACTCATTAGAATTTGCTACTTATTAATTTTCATGATTACAATAAATATTAAAATTAATACTACTCTAAAAAAGTGATCACAATAAGTTAGTGACATGAAGCGAATACAATAAATATTAAAATTAATGATATTACTTAAATAAAGATTTGCTACTCATTCGTTAAAATTAGTGCTAATATATGAAAGAAAAAATTATCTTGCTAAATTGTTAAATGGTTTATCTTATACGTAAAAGAACCAAGTATGTATATGAGACATAATTCGCCCACTCAATTGTTAGCCAACTGGCTTATTTTATATGTTGTACTTAAAAACACTACATATATGAGAAAATCCTCATATCTAGGATAAGAGGAATATTCTATCTTTGTAATCTATACTTATAGGGCCTTAATTCATCAATGAAATACACATAAAATCTTTCTTCTCCTCTTCAATATTATACTAGTTTATATTTCAACACTTATTAGGAAAGTTAAATTTTGCAGTCGAGGCTTATTTAGAAAGTAAGTAGAAAATTAAAATTTTACTAATAATTCTTCTGTAAAAAGAAAATTAAAATAAAAATAAAATCTAGGACGACCGAAAAGGAAAATAAGTAGAAAATCTTAGGTAGGAGGAATTAGCATTTAACTTTTGTACCTTGTTTTTTAATACCCGGTAGACAAACCACCTAAGTCGGTGGGGCAAATGCCGGGGAACATTTGCCAGATTTTATTAAAATAAAGATGAAGTACAAAGAGAGGCATTCCTTTTCAAACTACATGAATAAAAAGTGAAAAATATTGGGGGGGCCTAGATCTTACCCAATATTAACGAATAACAACAATACAACAAAAAACTGACAGAGAGCAAGTCACTGGCGGAAATCTGAAATACCAAAATAATCTAAATAGTAAGATTTCCTAACAAGAATAGGCAATGAATTAACCAGATAAGAACAAGTGAATTGAGCTGGATATTCTTTAGCCAGGTAATGGGCTGCCCAGTTCCCTTGCCTGAGAGTGTAACTGAATGAGACACCGTTTCATTTCAGTAAAGTCGACCTACCATCAAACTTCAGAACAATCGGATATGAGAGCTAAGACCTCTGCTGCATCACTCTCCACCTGGAAATCTTCATATCCGGCTTCCAAAGCCCACACCGTAGCTCTCTCCAGAGAAATAAACTTCAGCCTTCAGCGCTGAGTCTGCCAAGAGAGGAAAGCTTAAAGCAAAAACCATATTTCCTTCTTCGTTTCGCATAATAGCGCCACCAATGTACCTTGTTATTACAGAATATTTTTTTTTATCTTTTTAACAGTGTTAGTTTCGTAAAATTTCACTTCCACTGATCAAGTTTTTAGTGTCGGCAAGGATGCAACCCTTTTCTCCTGCTATTGATAGTTACACTTTTGTTAAATAGATGAGCCCAATTAGCATACCTCTGGCCTGTTTACTCTTGAACTATAGGCTCTCTGCTGCTGGGATGTGTTCAGGTAATACATAATACAAATGGGCCGTTGAAGCTGGCCTCTCCAGTTTTGAGGTGGAATACGATTCTGGAGTAGCCATTTCACTAATACGATCAGCGAATGGCAGGGGGGCTTTCTACGCTATCATCTCCCAAATTTGCAACTACACAACGTTTAAGGACCTTGAGTTCCGCCACTGCTTCCAGGAGGCAAATTCTGTCGCTCACAGTTCCGCCATTTCTTCTTCATCTCTACACAGTCATATCAAATTTCTGGGCCTACATGAGGAACTTTTGTACTAGACCTGTGGGGCATTCCCTCAATTAGAAAGCCGTTTTAAACTTTTGATGTTGTAGAAAGAGCTAGAGAAAGCAACCTGAATTTAGTTTATCCGTACTATCTAATACAAGGAGAAGTTTACAGAATATATAGCTAGAGAAGTAGAACAAATAAGGAAGGAATCCTCCTAATTAAGGTTTACTAAGAATAAGGGATATTTAGAGATTCTGAGATCTCTAAGATATCTCCTCATAAATACACAATCGGGTGAATATTTAGAATAATCTACACATCCCCTCAAGATGGGTGATCGATATCATCCCTGCACAACTTGCTAGATAAGTCTTCAAATTGAATTCTTGGAAGTGTCTTGGTGAGTATATCAACTATTTGCTGCATGGTTGGAACATAGCTCAATTGGATGTCCTTTGCTGCAATCTGCTCTGATAAGAATCGTCTATCTATCTCAATATGCTTGGTCTTGTCATGATGGACAAGATTTTTAGCAATACTGATAGTAGACTGGTTATCACATGAAATCTGGATGGAGCCTTCAAATGGAAGTTTGAGCTCATTCATCAGCCTTCTTAACCATAATCCTTCACAGATTCCTTGTACTAAAGCTCTGAGTTCAGACTCTGCACTACTTCTAGAGACCACTGATTGTTTTTTGCTACTCCAGGTGACTAAGTTACCCCATACATAAGTACAGTAACCAGTAGTTGACCTTCTGTCTTAGAGGCTTCCAGCCCAGTCAGCATCTGTAAACACTTCAATCTTCCTTGTCCTCTGTTTTTGAAACAACAATCCTTTTCCAGGAGTCATTTTCAAATACCTCAGAATTCTATAGACTGCAGTTAGATGTTCCTCAGTTGGGTAATTCATGAATTGACTCACCACACTAACTAAGAAAGCAATGTCTGGCCGTGTGTGAGATAGGTAAATTAGTTTCCCTACCAGCCTTTGATATCTACCCTTATCAACTGGTGGACTGTCATTCTCACTACCCAACTTCTTTGATATATCCATAGGAGTGTCCATAGGCTTGCACCCAAGCATTCCAGTTTCACGTAGCAAGTCTTAGACATATTTCTTTTGTGAAATGAAAATGTCTTTCTTAGATCTTGCCACTTCCATGCCCAGGAAGTACTTCAACTCGCCTAGCTCCTTGATCTCAATCTCTCTTGCTAGATGATCCTTCAATCTGTCCAATTCAACCTTATAATCCCCAGTCATAATAATATCATCAACATAGACTATAAGAATAACCATTTCACCAGAGTCTGCCCTCTATACAAATAGTGTGTGGTCTGCTTGACATTGCATGAACCCTTGTTTAAGAACTGATCTTGTAAATCTATCAAACCATGCTCTAGGAGACTATTTTAGCCCGTACAAGGACTTCCTGTACCATGTAGAAAGAGCTAGAGAAAGCAATCTGAATTTAGTTTATTCGTACTGTCTAATACAAGGAGAAGTTTACAGAATATATAGCTAGAGATAAGGAGGGAATCCTCCTAATTAAGGTTTACTAAGAATAAGGGATATTTAGAGATTCTGAGATCTCTAAGATATCTCCTCATAAACACACAGTCGGGTGAATATTTAGAATAATCTACAGATGTGTATGAGGTTAAGGGTCATGTCCCATTGTCCCCCTCATCCCTTGTATTGCTTTTGTTTTAAGGTTATAATATCTTGGCTTTAAAAAAGGTTTATTTCAGATTGACTTGTGATGCTACTATTACAGGTTCTGTGTGGCTTTGTTTATTTCAACATGTCTTTTATTATAGACATATTTTGGCACATTCTTAGATCCTATTTTGCATCATGCGTGTATTCTGTTACATAGAAATGACATTGCCCTAATTTGTGGTTAATGAATTTCAATTCTACTTTTTATATACCAATATAAAGCTTTCTTTAGAAAAATTAAGATAAAGTCTTTTCCCTCTTGTTTATGGTGGTAATCTAGATATCGATCGCTGTTATCATGTTTAGGTCTATGGGGCTTTGCGAATGTCTGTGAAAATCCACTTGATGCTGAATTCCGAAATGCTTATAGATGGTGAAGGTGATGCAATTGTTGCAACATCTGTACTTGAGGCTAGCAATTTAGTTGTTCTCAAGGTAGAGTGGTTTTGTATCCTTTTTATCATTATGTCTATGTTCTTGAATATTTGATACTCTCAGTCATACGTGTGCATCAATAAATGCTCAGGGATCATCCGTTATACATTCAAATGCTAACTTGGGAGTTCATGGGCAAGGTTCATTGAACTTATCCGGACCTGGAGATCTTATCGAGGCTCAGCATTTAGTTTTATCTCTGTTTTACAGCATAAATGTAAGTCCCTTAGTGCTTAATATCTGTAACCATTCACAGCTAGGGGTTTTTGTTGGCCTGGACCAGAACGAATCAGACTGGATAATGGATATAGCTAGATCTGAATAAAGGCATCAAATAAGGATAATCTTTGAGACACCTATAAATCTTTGTCAGAATTCAAAAATGCAGTCACAATCCAATAATAAAAGTTGAGAAATAAATTGTGATTATATGTATGATACAACCTATCTTCTGCCACAATTGTTAATGAAAAGGATGTATTTTCTGTATATCATTTTTCAGTGTGTGCTGGGGACACATGACTTTTTCCTCCCTAGGCAAACTCATGGATGTTAGTTGACATAATTGTTCCAAACCATGTGATGATTTTTGGGAAGTTTCTTTGCACCATCATGACAACCTTGGTTACCTATTTATAATGTGTAGTGTTTATTTCAATGTGAAGGTTGGTCCAGGATCTATTTTGCGTGGTCCATTGGAGAATAATAGCATCAATAGCATGTAAGTGTTTTTATGTGTCATCTTCCGTGAGGTGTAACACGGCCATTTCTTAAGGTTGTGATTTTCTGTTAACAGTGAACCACGGCTCTGTGAAGAAATCCAAGAATGCCCCATTGAGTTGCTTCACCCACCTGAAGACTGCAACGTCAATGGCTCATTACCCTTCACCCTTCAGGTTCCTGTATTACCAATAAGCAATGAGTTTGAACTGTTTAAGATGTGTGGATTTCCTTGATGTATGATTGATCTGTGTGACATGTGCAGATATGCCGTGTTGAAGATGCATTTATTGAAGGCTCTATCGAGGGTTCTGTTGTTCATTTTCATTGGGTTAGAGCGGTACTCGTAAAGCCTTCTGGAACAATAAGTGTTTCTGGTTTAGGTATTTCATTCTTTTCTTTCAATTTCTATGGTTCAGCTCCTATTTGTGGTTTACCTGATTTTAAAGAGACATGTGAAGTGACGAGAAGTGACAGCCTGATTCTTATTTTTCGTCTTACCTTTTACAGTAGTAATTTGAGTTATTGGGCTAAATCATGCATCTGGTTATGTGCAGGTTGCATTGGAGGGTTGGGCAGTGGTAAACTCTTTCCTAGTGGTCTTAGTGGTGGTGCTGGGCATGGTGGCAGAGGTGGTGATGCATATTACAATGGGACCTATATGGGAGGTGGTCATACATATGGTGATGCTGATTTGCCATGTGAACTTGGTAGTGGAAGTGGAAATTCTAGTGTACCAGGTGCTACTGCTGGGGGTGGAATACTTGGTCAGCTCTCAAATCATATCTATAATCTCTGTATTTGGACTATGTCGGACTTTTATATTTTATATAAACAAATATGCATGACTTTTCAGTTATGCAAGTTAATTTTGCTTTGTTCCACCCTTGTTCTCATGTCCGTAAATTTCCACTGAGGTGTCAATCTATCGAGACTTATGACATGTTTACTTCGTGGGCTAGTAAGTGCTATTTATTTATTTATATATTAAAACATGTTTTACTAACCCGCCCTTTACTAAGAGGTGCTTAGTAAACATATGTTTACTTTACGAAACCGATGCATTCATTTAAACATGGTTTAACTATATAAAATGTCAATAATAACCTTAAAAGACTTTACCCTCTTCTTACTACCACTCCCATCCCTACCCCAGCCACAACCACCCCTACCTCCTCCCTACCACCCATCCCCACCCCTACCCCAACACAGCCCATTCTTAAGGTAGGAGGTGCAGATAGGGTAGAGGTGGGAAGGGGTGTTGGGGTGGGGTGTAGGGGTAGGATGTGCGTGTGGGAAGGTCGGGTGGGGTGTAAAGTGTATGTGGTAAGGGTGAGGGTGTAGCCGTGCAGTGGTTGGTCGTAGGAGTGGGGGTAGAGGTAGGGGTAAATGGGGTGGGGAGGGTGAGTGCAGAGGGCGGGGGTAGGGTGGAGTAGGGAAGGGTATGTGGGATGGGGATGGTGTAGAGGTGAGAGATCTGGGTGGGTGGAGGTTGTGGTAGGGGTAGGGATTCACATGGCAGTTGTAGGGGTAGGGCCGTAGGGGTAGGGGTCAGAGGTAGGGGGTTGGGGGTGCTCCGATGACTTTCATTGTGGGATGCATGGAGGGGTATACAATATACTTGTCAATACAGAATTGTTTAACATGTTGCTTAGTAAAACATGGGGGTAGGGACGTAGGGTGCTTACTAAGCTAACAGTGAAGTTTACTGTGAAGCAAACATGCCCTTAGTTAGGATTGTTTCTGTCTCCTAGGGAAATATTTTATTTTCCAAGTTTTGCAAGTTTATTCACATCAGGAGTAGGCAGACATATTCTACTATTCTGTACTTTCAGTCCATTTGGAAACACATCCATAATTTTGACATAACCAACTTGAAATTGAACCCCTGGGGATAAGGCGATAAACACTCAAAAGTCAAAATACAGTTGCATTTTTTTTTTAACTTGAGACTTCAATATGTGTGACATACTTTGCGAAAACACACACTAAATATATTCAATGAAGTGAATGGTGTTATAGGCACCTCCGTGTGAGCAATTGTATTTTTTTCCCATGGTCAGTAAGTCAGTTTTCCATCATTTTTAATGGAGGCAAAGACTCACTATTGTTTGGCTTGGGAATATGATGGAATAAAGCAAAATGGCTCACTAAACTGTCTGCGCTTCTTTATTATGAAGCAGTAGTCAGTGCATGCAATGTTCGACGTGAATTTCACTAAGGGTCATCAGGAAACAGTCTCTCGGTGCTTTAGTACAGGGGTAAGACTGCGTACATCCGACCCCCCTTACCCCATCGTAGATGGTAGCCTTTGCGGCACTGGGGTAATGATGATAATGATGGTCAGTAAGTCGGTTCCAGTTTTTATATTTAAGAAACCGGATGAACTGATAGATGTATGCAATCCACTATCTTATGTAGTCTGCTTTATTATTGCTGTATAAAAGGTGCACATTTGTAATTTGAGAAAGGCCAGAAAAGCTGCTCTGACATGTACGCTTCTATACTCTTTCTGGAAACAGTAATGGGATCATTGGAGCACTCCTTATCAAGCTTGTCAGTGTATGGTTCAATTCAAGCCAATGGAGAAAGCTTTGGAAAATTTATTAGAAAGGATGGCCGTATGGTTGTCTCGGAAGTAGGTCCTGGGGGTGGGTCTGGTGGAACAGTTCTTCTATTCATTCACTCTTTGATACTAGGCAATTCTTCTACTATCTCAGCTATTGGAGGTCATGGTAGTTCTAATGGTGGAGGTGGAGGTGGAGGAAGAATTCACTTTCACTGGTCAGAGATTTCTGTTGGAGATGAGTACGTAGCTGTAGCAAATGTGAAAGGAACTATTACAGAGAGGTCAGTAACTACTGTGATATAAAACTTCAGTGTTTTCTTTGATTTGTGTAGAGTTAAATGCATATTTTGTCCTTACTATTTTCTTTGGTTCAGAAACCAACTGTTTTAGTATTTTAGACCTATCAATGAACTTTTCAGCCTATCAAATGAAAAGTTAATGAAAAGATCAAAATTAATTGATTTATAAAATAGCGATGAGCCGAGGACCAAATATGAGGACTGAAATAGCAAGGACCAACTATGAACTGCACAATACCATGCAATATATAACAATGTTATTATTTAATGAACTGCACATTATACCCCACTATTTCATGCATGTTTAATGAATCGAACCTCACTGCTCTATATTAGTAAAAATAACTTTTCAAATGAAACATTTTCTATAATGTATTACTAGTTTTTTCTAATTGAAAGGGGCCCTATTTTTCAACAATCGTTAAATATATTTGTAATGACTGATTTATTTTTATTACTTTTTGGATTACCAAATAGATTTTAAGCTCTTTCAAATAAATTTATAATTAAGTTATATGTGAGGGTGAGGAAATAATTTGATTTGGTACTCTCTTTTGAATTATATTTGTAGAATAATCTAAATATTATTAATAGTAGAATAAACCATGTTGGATGAAATGTGACACTTAAGATAAATGGATGGAAAATTTAACGGAAGGATTAAAATGATATGAACTATTAAGTTTGAGGACTTAAATTTAACATGACTTAAATCAGTTAAATGGAAAGTTTAAGGGAAGAACTTTTACTTATATTCAGGTAAAACTGTCAAATAGGTCCATGTACTTTTACCAAAAAGTCAATTGAGTCCTCATACTTTCAAGTGACACAGTTAAGTTCCCGAAGTGTTAAAAACAGCCAAATTAGATATATCGCAGGTAGTTGTCTGGTTTCCCGGTTGAAGGCCTACGTGGATGTCCACCTGTCAGTTTTTTCCATTTTCTGTTTTTTTTTTTAAATAATTTTTCTTTCCATTTTCTTTTTCTCCCGCTCTCTGTCCCTCCTTCCTTCCTTGAATGGACGTATGGGTGGCGAAGGTTGAGGCCAGAGGTGATGTTTATGGATGTAGGGGCGGCAGAGGTGGTGGCTATGGAGGCCAGGGCAGTGAAGGTGGTGGCTATGAAGGCCGGGTAATTGGTTGATTACGGTAAAATAAAAAATTAGAAAACGAAAAAAAAAAACGCGTGTTAACCGTAGGCGGTTAACCGGGTAACTGGCTGATTACTTGTTAAATAGCTGACTTGGTTGTTTTTTGATACTTCACGGACTTGATTGATTCACTAAAAAGTATGTGAAGTCAATTGACTTTTTGTTAAAGTACGTGGACCTATTTGATAACTTTCCGTTATATTTGTAATAGAAAATTTAAGGGAAGAACTTGAATTATATTTATAGAATAATCTGAACAATATTCATAGTACAAGGGAGAGCAGGGGATGGAAGAGAGAAATGAAAAATGAAAAAGGAAAAGAAAAAAATTTAGAAAACAGTAAATTGTTTTTGGTTAACTGGGTAACCAGTTGATTACCTGTTAAATAGCTGATTTGGTTGTTTTTTGATATTTTGCGAACATGATTGATTCGCTAAATAGTACGTGGACTCAATTGACTTTTTGTTAAAAGTATGTGAACCTTTTTGACAGTTTTCCTTCATATTTATAATGGAAAATATAAGGGAAGAACTTGAATTATAGTTACAGAATAATCTAAACAATATTCATAGTACGAGGGAGAGCAAGGGACGGAAAAGAGAATTCTGGGAAAGGAGCAGACAAGAAAGAAAGGAAGAAAAAGAAAGAAAGAATGAATGAAAGAGAAAAAAAGGAAGAGAGAACGGACAAAAAAACAAATGAAAAGAAAAGAAAATTTATAAAAATTAGAAAACAGTAAAAAAACACCAGCTGGGATGTCCACATAGGCGGTTAACCGGGTAACCGGTTGATTACAAATCAAATAGCTGATTTGGTTGTTTTTTGATACTTTGCGGACCTGATTGATTCGCTAAAAAGTACGTGGACTCAATTGTCTTTTTGTTAGAAGTTCGTGAACCTATTTGACAGTTTCCCTTATATTTATAATGGAAAATGTAAGGGAAGAACTTGAATTATATTTATAGAATTATCTAGACAATATTCATAGTAAAATAAAACCAATTGGATACCATGTGACACCGAAGAGATAAATGGATGGAAGTTTTAGCGGAAGGACTAAAATGGTATGAACTACTCCATATTAAATTTGAGGACTAAAAAGCCAAAAGCTTTGAATTGTAGACCACTAGCCCCACACGATATGAGGGCACAAGTTTGAGGACCAAATATGCATTTTACCTTTTTGTTTATGAAACTATTCTGTAATTGGCATCATTTCATATTGAAACCCGGATACCCGTTTTAATTTCACGCGTGGCACTACATGTATGCTTCTGGCTACAGTCCCGCTACACCCACTCAAAAAAAGAGATTATGTTTGTAATATATTTTTATTATCGCAAATATGACTCGTTTTTGGGTTGGAGGGAGTACAACAATTAGTATTACTGGATGGGCAGTATAAGTTCACTGTTGGCATGTTGGGATATGGGGAGTCTTGGTAAACTAATGATGAACTTACAGTGTGTTTTTTGGAAGGGTTTAATTTCTGACTTACAGTATAAGTTCACTGTTGGCATGTTTTCTGGCTACAGTCCCGCTACACCCGCTCAAAAAAAGAGATTATGTTTGTAATATATTTTTATTATCGCAAATATGACTCGTTTTTGGGTTGGAGGGAGTACAACAATTAGTATTACTGGATGGGCAGTATAAGTTCACTGTTGGCATGTTGGGATATGGGGAGTCTTGGTAAACTAATGATGAACTTACAGTGTGTTTTTTGGAAGGGTTTAATTTCTGACTTTCTGGAGTGGCTTAGGATGTTTTTACTTGGACTGTAATTTGTCCCAGACCAGTCCAGACCAGACCAGGCTTGGATAGTTATAAAAATACAAAGAAACCAGACCTTACCAGACCAGACCAGTTCAGACCAGACCAGACCAGCAGATTACAGTCCTAAGTAAAAACATCCTTATTCCTTCTGTAAGCTCATTTTTAAGTTTGGTACATGGGAACACTCTTCCCAGGATCTTTAATTTTTGAGATAATTCCCAAACTAGGAGTAAAACATGGCAAAAAGGCAAAAATAGTAGTAGTAGTTTGAAATTTTGAATATTCCCAAAATAGGTGCTTTTTTAGGGATTGGACAAAAATACCCCTGCAGGTACCCAGCCCACTGCTGCCCACTGGCCACTGCCTCTTTCCACCACCAGCCTCTGCCCGCTGGATGCCGCTGCCGACATCCAGATCCGCGCCGCCGATCTCCGTCTTCCGCCACCAGTCGTTGAAGCTCCGGCGGTGCCAAAAAATCCTAGAATTTTTTCCCAGTCCGCCTGCCTCCGCTGCCAGTCGTTGGAGCTCTGCCTCCGGTCACCACCGCCTGACTGCCCGCCCCCAACAGATTGACCCGGTTTCCTTAGGGAACTAAGTTGGCAATTAATTAATTAGAATAGGGGTATTAAGGGAAAAGTGCCATGTTTTACTCTTATTTAGGTCAATGACTTTTAAATTCTCTACAAGTGGAGTATTTTTCCCATCCTTTACTCGGGTATAATAATCTCCAACTATAAGTGGAATAGAGTTGGTGCTCTTTTGTAGAACCTTTCCTTTGTAATTTTATTACATACAGATCTTTGTTGGCTTATAATAGGGAGTTAATCGACAGTTACCTTTTTCTTTATTCTTGTAGTCCCTGATTATTCCAATTAGGTTATTTAACCAACCTAACAAAATTTAAAATCCTTTTGTGTTCTCCATATATTCTTCTCCCTCAGTGGTTTAAATTGCTTTCCTCCTTTATTCCTTTATTGCGTACGCGATGAGCCATTACAGAGGTTTTTGTTGAAGTCTCTTTCAGCGTTTCTCTTTCTCTTTATTCTTTTCTTCGCTGACTATTACAATTAGTTTTCTTGCAATCAACATAACCATGGAATTTAGAATTGTTCTTCATTCTCAATGTATTCTACTTCCTTCATAATTTAAAGTACATTTCTCCTTTATTCCTTTCTGCATACCAAACGACCAATTATGGATGGGTTTTTGTTGTAGTCTCTCTTGGTGTTTCTCATTTTCTCTTCCATATATTTATTCTATTACTGATACCACAGTGGAGGAATTGGTAGAGATCTCGGGAAAGCGGGAGAAAATGGAACTATTAGTGGTAAAGCCTGCCCAGAAGGGCTTTATGGGATATTTTGTCAGGTAAATTACAAATTTCAGATGCAGTTTTCAGTTGTTTAGGGTGTGTTGTGTACTTAAATATATGTGCTAGACAGTGTGCACTCTCTTGCGTACTTGTGGTATTGGATTTATAATCATCCTTATCAATTGTTGTGAATCTACTTATTGTTATGGATCATCTCAAACGCGTCATTGTTAATCTACCCTGGTGGGCTCACTTTTGCTTTAGCAACCCAAGTGACCTTACAGTTTGCATGCCAATTATGTTTTGATCTAATAATAATAATAATAATAATAATAATGTCTTCAAAATGACTAGTAATAAACGGTACTGATGTCATATGTAATGTACATAATGAGAAAATAGCAATTAGGGTAAAAATGATATATATATACTCAACCTGGTGTTGAAAACCATTTTTTTTCTATTTATGTTTATTTTCCAGTCAAATGGTGTGCGTACAAACTAGTTGTGAAACTTCCAGTGTTCTATATTCCCATATAACTGTTGGACCAGTTTGGCCTTGAACTATTAACATAAACCCAGCTGTGCTAACTCTATGTTCATGCCATGTTGTGTAAGGGTTTATTGGCTGTTGAGCAGAAAATGTGATTCTGTTGTACTTTCATTTCGTGCATTATTTTTGTAGTTTCTTTGTATGTAAGCAAATGAAACAATACAGGAATGCCCAATCGGAACATACAAGAATGAGAGTGGATCTGATAGATCCCTTTGTCGTAAGTGTAAATCTCATGAACTTCCGCAGCGTGCAACATATGTTCTTGTTCGAGGTACTTATTTTGTAATTATTCTAGTATGTAGTATGGTTGTGCACTCCATAGCTTTGCTCTCTTTTGTTTAGTAGTTGTGTACTCCCTCCTTCCCATTTTGGTTGTCTTACCTTCCTTTTCAGGTTGTCCCAAAATGAATGTCCTATTTCCTTTTTTTGGCAAGAAATATGTGGTCCATATCATTTCACTTTATTATACTTAAACCTCAGCTACAACTTTTACTTTTTAACCGCTTTATTAATAATTGTGCCAAAGTAAAACAAGACAACCAATACGAGACGGAGGTAGTATTATTTAGTTTTATAAATATTTGGTAGGAACCACAAATTCAGACGGTAAATGTGGCGTTTATTAGAGAAAGAAGATGCACGAAAGGAAAATAATGAGACACTTAGTGCAGTCCCCTCTCCCAAGTCCCAAGTCTAATTCCAATTTCTCCCCCCTCTTCTATTCTAAAGGGCCGGCCCAAACCCATGAGTTACATGGCCCGTAACCCTTATTTTTAAACTACCACAATTATTTATTATCAATCTCTTACTACTATTATTATTCTCTACAGCCCAGGGCCCTATCATATCTCCCCCCTTAGACAACTACGTTGCCCTCAAGGTGGGTGATAGGAAACAGAAACCTATAGGACCATAGGACCATAGAAGGTGGGAATCACTGGCAGGCAATCATCTTGAGTTTGACCCTTCATAAAATGTTTCTCTTCTCTCCAAGAATTTGGCGATGTATCAGATGTATCAATGCTAAAGGGGATCTGCCGAAGGAAATACGTGATTTCTGAAATTTCAGTTCCTGCACTCCAAGAGATTCCAGTCATTCCACGCATAGGTGCTGAGATCCCACCTTTATTTCACATTTCACACGAGACCCGCCTGTTGCTGCAAGTACTCCATCCCTTGCAGCTTCATTAACAATCACCACCTTCTTTTCACTTTCTGCACATATGGGAGCTGTCAGCTGGAAAGTCTGTCCGCAAAATCCTTGGTCAGACAAACTGCTATCGTTGAGAATTTTATTCTTTGGTTTTGAGAAGCTTCCCCATACAGCTCTAACCCGTCCAAGCTCATCAGGCAGCACACCGAAAACGAAACACCAAACGCAGTATCAAGTTCAGTAACTGCCATGTTTGTTGCTATATAGTTTGGACAACCAGAAGATAGAATAGTCAAAGAAACACAAACAATAGTGACAATTGACTTCCTGGATGTTGTCAGCTGGCACTTGTTCGACCCCACGATAGACACAGCATCTCCACGACAAGGCGGTGGTTCAGCAAGGAGTTCGGCAGCTTGAACAGATGATGACACGTGAAGTCCCAGCACCACAAGAGTGGGCTTAACCACACTCAGCAACAGAGGCATTTGCTGATTTTGTCACAAAGCCCTCACAATCTCTTATTATCTCATCATCTATATTGATCTCAAGCAATTTTTCTTTTGCAAGTACTTGTGAGGAAACATCGGATAGAACAATTTCATCAGCTAACAAGCTCTCTTTCTCTGAAACTAACTTATGACTGATTTGCATATCTGGAATACCATCTATTGACTTGTGTTCAAAGTGTTGAGCTGTTTCATTCATTGGAGCATCTTCGACACAATAAACACTTCGGTACAACTGACCTTTGTTATCAGAATCTATGCCAGACAAGAGAAGCAAGCCTGTTGATAAAACAGGCTTAGCTATCCATAAGCCAAGACTGTCATCACGTACATCTTTGTGTTCCGAGGATCTTCTGGACTATCAGGTAGAGTTCCAGTAGGTTGTGATGTATCCTCTTCCGGCTCTGGCTCCGGGACTAAAGGTGCGGCTGTCTTCAATTCTGTGTTCATTGTAGATTTGTAGTTGGTTGAGTCCCCTGTGATCCCTTTCCTGATGCAACTAAATCGATGGTTCTAGAAACGGATGATTTCGGTACGAACGATGAAGCTAGCGCACTGTGACACGCGGCTTTAGATGCCATCTGCAAACTGCTAGAAATGGTTCGCATCTGCGAACTGGGAGAAGTGGTTCATATCTGCGAACTGGGACAAGTGGTTCGCATCTGCGAACTGGGACAAGTGATTTGCATCTGCGAACTAGGAGAAACGACAAAAGATGATGCTGACTTCGAGGTCACCTGCGAACTAAGGAGATCTATTCGCGACGAAGCTGAAGCGGCTTGCGATGACATCTGCGACCGTTGGAATCAGCTAGCGACTGCGAACTGGGAGCAACGACGAGCGACGATGCTGAGCTGATTCTGGAGTTCCGGCAGGCGGCAGCGTCTCACCGTCCTCGATCGTCCTCGCGGGCGACGTTGTTGATGCAGATGATTTATCATCTCGTCCAGCATTGTTTCCATCTTCGTGACATGGCGTTCAAAAGTTCCTGTGGTATTCTCCATCTGCGATCGTTGATGCTTTGATACCAATGGTAGGAACCTGAAATTCAGACGGTAAATGTGGCGTTTATTAGAGAAAGAAGATGAACGAAAGGAAAATAACGAGACACTTAGAGCAGTCCCCTCTCCCAAGTCCCAAGTCTAATTCCAATTTCTCCCTCTCCTTCTTTCCTTCCTCCCACTCTTATACTACTTTTATTCTAAAGGGCCGGCCCAAACCCATGACTTACATGGCGCGTAACCCTTATTTTTAAATTACCACGATTATTTATTATCAATCTATTACTACTATTATTATTCTCTACAGCCCAGGGCCCTATCAATATTTAGTTGCTCTTGATGAATGGTACTTTCAAAATATAATACTTTTGGAATATTGATTACATATTACAGGTGGTGTAGCCAATACTCCCTGTCCATACAAGTGCATTTCGGACAGATATCACATGCCACATTGTTTTACAGCACTTGAAGAACTGATTTACACTTTTGGGGGACCATGGCGGTTTGGTTTGATTCTTTTTAGTCTTCTTGTACTGTTAGCCCTTGTTCTCAGTGTTGCTCGTGTGAAGTTTATTAGTTCCGATGAACTACCTGGCCCAATCCCAGCTCGCCGTGGATCTCCAATTGACCGATCATTCCCATTCTTGGAATCGTTGAATGAGGTAATGTTGTCTAACTACCATGATTTTTTACTAGGAAGCTTTTATTATAATAGTAAAACCCGATAAGGTCTGTTTGGATGAAGGATTTGGTAGATAACACGTTTGTAAAAATGAATAGAAGTGATTGAAATTCTATATGATTTAATATAATATTAATCTTAATGATTTGGAAGGTTTTGAAGAGGGGTTACGGAGGGCTTAACCTATATCTTGGTAGATAACATGTTTGTAAAAAGGGATAATTTGAGTTTGCACCCCATTTTATTGTCCAAATTGGACTTTGCACCCCGTTTTAAAAATATTTGTTTTTGCACCCCAACCCATTTGAAAAGAAAAAAATGCCCCTCCATTAACAATTGTGTTGGTCTTCAACATATTCCTGATTGAGGGCATTTTTGTCTTTTCATATGGGGTTGGGGTGCAAAAACAAAGATTTTTAAAAACAGGGTGCAAAGTCCAATTTGGACAATAATATGGGGTGCAAAGTCAAATTACCCCTTGTAAAAATGAATAGAAGTAATTGAAGTTCTATATGATTTAATATTATATTGTATTAATCTTTGATGATTTCTAAAATATGAAAATATACGGAGTATGTAATATATAGACTAAGCCCTTGAAAGTCTTCCCCTCCAAAATCCCCATCCAAACAGACCCTCAATCAATATCTGATTGTTTACGGTAGATCATCAGCTATGAGAATTATACCCATTATTTTCTTTAACTTAGGTGTTGGAAACCAATAGAACTGAGGAATCCAGTACACATGTGCACAGGATGTATCTTTTGGGTGCCAACACTTTTAGTGATCCCTGGCATCTTCCTCATTCTCCTCCTAAAGAAGTCACAGAAATTGTGTATGTTTTCATATATTTCTTGTCTTACATGGAACAACAAAAAGTGACATTTTTCGTGCTGTCAAGATATGGAATTATTGAGTTATTGACAGATGTCAAATTGTACAAGATGGATACCTCATTTCATAGTTTATGGAGATATTTTAAGCTTCATCTTATTGTGATATGACAGGTATGAGGATGCGTTTAACATATTTGTTGATGAAGTTAATGATTTGGCTTCTTATGAGTGGTGGGAAGGATCAGTCTATAGCATTCTCTCTATTTCTGGGTACCCACTGGCATGGTCATGGCTGCAGTGGCGCCGGAAGAAGAAAATTCAACGCCTCCGTGACTTTGTTAGATCAGAATATGATCATGCTTGTTTGCGGTCCTGCCGTTCACGTGCACTCTACGAGGGTCTCAAAGTGCTTATGTTTTCCTCTATTCATTCCTTAAATTGATAGCCATTTTTTAGGCCTACATATTCAAGTTATTTATCATCATGCCTATTATTATTATATTTTATTTTGGCCACATATATGGCTAATATTATTAATTTCTCCAAATTCATATATAGAAATTTAAATCAGTTTCCTATACTACCAACTTATGATATTTAATCGTTTTAAATTTACAAAGAAGTTCCGTAGGCTAATCCCCTTTTGTCCCAAAAAAAGAGTCTTGTTTATTCAAGGCACAATATTTGAATTTTTGCAAGGTTTCAACTTCTATTTTCGCGAAGTCAACTCTTATAAAGCATGGAATCCTACTTCTTTTAAAAGTTGATTTTACTTTGACTCAATTTACCATATTGAACATTTTTCTAACTTTTTATTAGTTTGTTTTGTCAAATTTTGAATGTCAAAATTAGCCTACTATGACTTTTTTATACCACCTCTTGTGGAAATTTATTTTTCTGATTTTACCTCTTGTGCATCTGACTAATGTCACCCATGTGTATATGTTTCCATCTGAAATTCTTGCACAGTGACAATCAGCTTTTAGGATTCTCCTATAGCGTCCCTGTTGTGATCCACACTTGTATCTATTTAGCATATAGAAGTTGTTGCTGATAATATATTGGTTTGTTTATATAGGTGTCCGCTACTTCAGATCTTATGCTGTCATATATAGACTTTTTCCTTGGTGGAGATGAGAAGCGAGCAGACATGCCTCCCCGCCTTCATCAACGGTTTCCATTGTCTGTAGTCTTTGGAGGAAATGGATCATACATGGCTCCTTTCTATCTCCACAGTGATAACATACTAACTAGCCTACTGAGTCAGGTTTGCCTAAAATAATACGTAATATTAGACATGCTTTGGACTTTTTGGGACTCAGCCTGTTAAGTAAGTTTTTCTATTCCCTCCGTCCCATTTTACATGTCCTACTTTCCTTTTTGGGTTGTCCTAAAATAAGTGCCACATTTCCTTTTTTGGAAAGAAATATGTGGCCTTCAACATTGGACGTTATCCAACCACTTTATGTTTTTATTAATATTTGTGCCAAACCAAAGTAGGACACATAAAATGGGACAGGGGTGGTAAACTAGTAATATTCATGTGAAATCAGTGTGTCGATGTATGCCGAATAGACTGAGGGTAAGCTTTATCAAATAATAATTAGGCTTGCATTATTGTATGGCGTAGAGTATTGGGTGGTGAAACAATGTCACATTCAAAAGATGATGTGTGTTGCTGAGATGTTGCATTGGTTGTGTGAACATATTAGAAAAGAGCACTTAAGGAATGAGACAATAAGGTGAAAAGTGGGAGTAGCACATACTGAAGATAAGATATGAGAGTCATTTGAGGTGATTTGGCCATGTGTGCCGAAGGCCATGTGATGCACCTATTAGATGATATAGTACTTCTCAAGTTAGATGAGAGTGATTTTGGAGAGAGCGAAGGGGAGCTGATTTTGTTTCTCCCTTTTTCTCAATTTATTGTTATTAACTCTGATTTCATATGTCATTCATGTTAGCCGATCCCAAACACTTTTGGGATTAAGGTTTGGATGTTGTTGTCTTGAAACTCCCATGTCTGTATTTGCACATACACAAAAACACCTATATCTTAAATTCTGTAAAATAATTTTATTTTATAGGAGCTACAACATATTGCTTTTGAAATTTTAAGGAAGTGCTTTTATCTCTTTCAGAAGTCATCCCAAACAGGCTATAAGCCAGAAGCTACTTACTCTCTTTATAGCAGAATAAGCCACTTTGGGCTACCCAACGGCCCCTCCCTTGTACTCAATTTCTAGTTCTGATAAAGAGTTGTACTTTTCAACATTGCAGTCAGTTCCACCAACATTGTGGTACCGTCTGGTGGCTGGTCTGAATGCCCGACTTCGTTTAGTTCGCTGTGGACATCTAAGAGGTACCCTATCCCCAATTATTAATTGGCTTGAGACTCATGCGAATCCTTCATTACGTGCACATGGCATACACATTGATCTAACCCGCTTCCACCCCTCTGCGAGTGGATATCATCAATTTGGACTTCTGCTATGCGCTGTGGAAAATGATCTTGCACCTTCATCCATCGACTACCCGAGAAAATCTCTCACGAATGAAAAACAACCGCGGTAACTGTTCGCAATGTGATCTTAGATGAGTTGTTTTTATCTGTTTCTTTCTTTTAAATTTCTCTTCTATATTATGTACGTAGGTTGCCCGGTACACGTTGGAGAAGAGCATTTGATCTTGTTCGAGTTAATGAGCATGTTTTAACACAAAAGAGGATACTTCCGGGAGAAATTTTGAACTCTAGGAACATGAAGGCACTTAAAGAGAGATTCACTGTCGGTTATCTCTCTTATTATATAGTGTGTAATACTAAACCTATTGGCCATCAGGTACACACACATTTAATGACTTAAAATTGGCACCCTTAATTTGTTTCAAGAGTGTCATCAACATTATGTGGTAAAACTAATGTTCGTTATTATTTATTATTATTATTATTATTATTATTGTATTCACAGGATCTTGTTGGTTTGGTCATCTCAATACTCCTCTTAGGAGATTTTAGCTTGGTCTTGTTAACATTACTTCAGTTGTATTCTATCTCTCTACTGGATGTGGTTCTGGTCTTGTCTATTATTCCACTTGGCATACTTCTGCCTTTTCCAGCAGGGATTAATGCGTTATTCAGTCATGGACCTAGACGTTCAGCAGGTCTTGCTCGGGTTTATGCTCTATGGAATATAATCTCTATCATCAATGTCGTAAGTCAAACCAGAACACGCTCTTCCCTTTTTTGGGTTGTTCAGCTATACGGAATATCATCTCATTCATTTGTACTACTGCAACAGGTGGTCACATTCTTATGTGGATTTGTTCATTTTGAAAGCCAGTCATCATCAGCAACTAAAAAGCTTTTAAACATCCAATCCTGGAATTTTAGCAAGTAAAAAGCTACTTTCAGCTTGGTATAATCCTTGCCAACAAATGCAATAGTGATTAAAATTATTCGTGAAATTGTGGGGTTTGTGCAGGGATGAAACTGGATGGTGGATGCTGCCATTGGGACTTGGTTTAATTAAAATCGCCCAAGCTAAACTTATTAACTACCATGTGGCTAACCTTGAGATACAGGACCGCACGTTGTACAGTAATGATCCTGATGTGTTCTGGCGCTCATGAATGGCCGTTCAATGACCACATCGAGATTTTCAAATGACACTTAGTACATATTCTTTGTTCACTCTTCCTAGCTAAGCTTATTTGTTGAGGTAGGTCAGGCGGGGTAGGATGTAATGAGGTTCTGTCTGGGGCCATTTTAAGTTACCCAGTCATTGATACTCATAACTTTTGCCGAGACATTTGGAGACATTTGGAGAAATATTTTTCACATATGTGATATGTGACTTGTTTTTTCATTGACTAGGTAACCTATTTTTTTAATCTCAGAAGGGTAAACCACCAAAAAAACATGGGTAAATGCTTGGTATTGTTTACATATTACTCCCACCGTCCCTTATAACTTTGTTATCTTTTCATTTTTTATTGTTCCAAAAACTTTACCACTTTTTCTTTCAGTCACTTATTTTGTGTTTTATGTTATTTCTTTCTTCTCTTTACAAATCTCAATCGTATAGTTTTTACTTTATAAATCTCAATCGTATAGTTTTTTTTTTTAAAAAAAATCTTTGTACCGGTTAAACATGACAAAGTTACCAGGAACTGAAAGAGTATTATAAACAGATTTTTACAATTTGAGGGGGACCATACCTAACCCAAAGACACAAATTAAAAATGAAATGAAGATCTTCCCCATACATTACCCGGGAAATATCTTCCAGAATAGATATGGTAATTGGTAAGGGGTGGAACGGTCACCGGTCTTGGACTGGGATTGGCTCAGGTAAAACCAATCATTGAACCAGGTATGAGATTGGTTTTCCGGTTCGGGTCAAGACTCGTACTAGAAAGGGGTAATGGTACCCAGTCTAGGGTTCAAATTCTTGGAACCAGTACCTAGTTGGGCCCCAACGGCTAATTCCATAATTGTTTTTCCTATTGGTTGGAGCCCAACGGCTAGTAGTTGCCAAACATCCAATAGCACTCAATATGTATCATATTTCTCATTTTTCATAACACTTAAATTATAAATATCTCATCTTTCGCATTCTATTACTCAGGTTGGGCAAATTGGTTTGGTTTAATCGAACTAAACTGAAAATTGGTTCTTTGGTTTGGTTTAACTAATTTCTTGGGAACAATTTGTTCAAACCAAATGGTTTGATGTGTTTTGGTTTTAAGCTGAACAATCGTAAACTGAACTGAGCAACTTGTAATATACTAATATCTATAAAAAAATATTTTTTATTTATCTTCACTCTTTATCTTTAGTATATAAATAAATAACTTAGATATAAAAATACAAAGTTAGCTAATACTTCAACTTTTATACATTCCATACATTCAAGTTAGCTAGTAAGAAGTAAGATATACATGTATTTGTTATATTACATACTTTGTATGAAAAAACGTTTGGCGATGACAATAGCTCATTGCATTCATATCATTTCATTTCAGTTACACCAGAGTACAATATACATTTTACATGATTTGTTAATATGGAATAAAATTATGAATTTTGCAACATTTTGCAACACATGTAGTTTTCTTTGAATATTGTTTGTGGTATTATAAGTGATAATTAACTATAAATTCATTTAGTTTTTTTTTTTTTTTGAATATTGTGAGACAAATCTTTTTCTAGTAGTTGAGAAGATGATATACGTTTTCGTGTCATGAGTCTTAGAAAGACATAGTAAGGGTTTATTTTATACCTCCGTTTCATATAATTTTGCCGAATTTCCTTATTAAGCCGTCCCAAAAAAAGTTTGCTTATTCCATTAAAAGTAAGGAATGTGTGGTTATTCAACATTTTGTTTTTTATTCTCTCATCTACACATATTCCAATCACTGTTTTTTATTTTGTTATTCAACATGCATGTAAAAATTGACGAAGTTTTGTGGGATGAAAGGAGTAATATTTTATTATTTGTTTTTCTATTTTATTTTCCTCTACATTTTGTTTAAATAATAAATACAAGAAGAAGAAGAGATGAACCACTATTTTCATTTTCTATGTCTAAAATACATATCTGGATCAAATAAAACAATAAATATATGAAACTGAATCAAATCAAACTAAATTGAACTTAAGATTTTTCACTTTGCTAATCCAAACTTGAGACTGAACCAAAAACAAAATGAAATCAAATTGAAACACAAATGATTTTAGTTTTGTACAATATCTCTCAAACTGAATAAATTGAAATTGAAGTGGAACCAATGAAAACTAACCATGAAGGCATGAACCACCTACTATAATCTATGCTACTACTCTCTTATCTATTCGTACTAGTTTTCAACACGTGCATTGCGTGATTGAATAAAATGTCCATCGTGCTTTTTATTCGTACTAGTATTCGACATATTAAATTTTGTCAACTTAAAACAAAGAATTTAATGTTCTTTCATATGAAAGAGGACCCAAACAAAAAAAGGCATCATTGAGAAATATCTAGTACATATCTAACTATTGATGATTCTTATAAGATCCAATATGGGACCTTCACATGATAATACACGAGATATGAAATGAAAGGTATAGTAAATGAAGATCAAGATAAATATAATATTGACTAATATTCAAGTTACATATTTTTATTGTTCAGAAGAAAATAGCGACCTATTAAGTATTAAGGCTTGTATTTGATTGATCAAGATTCAAGAAGATCAATAAACTATTAGTTACAAATCTTTTGTAACTAAACTTTAAATATGCATTGTATTATTCTGCACCGCGGACAGTCATTGCCACTTTTAATGTGCAATACAAAAGTTACTCATCAAAATACTATGAGCTCACATTACAACACTTTTTTTTAAGTGAACACAAGTTATTCTATTTATCAAGTGTTTGCCAGTAAATAGTACTAACTCTATCCCATTTTATGTTTCTTATTTTGATTTTGACACAATTATTAATAAAATAGTTGATAAGTACCTATGAAACCATAGTGGAAAAAGAGGAAGTAAGATGAATACCCTTCTCCTGCGCGTTGGTAGCAAAAGTCACTCTCCTTTCTTCGTTTTTCACCCTCTTCTCGTGCTTGCTCTATACATTTTTTTTTTACCTTTTTTATTTGTGAAATTGTATTTTTCACAAATATTTAAGAGTTTTTACTTTTACAAGTTATGTATCCATTTTTGTTGTGATTTTAGGACAATTCTTTGAATGTGGAAAGAATATAGATTAAGATCATGTTAGCTAACATTAAAATTGGTCGAATCGACTGATTCTGCTAAAATTTATGAAGTTCTGGATGCATTGACTAGATTGGTCGATTCTGCTTATTTGTGAAAAAATATTTAAATTATATTTTATTTATAAAATAAATAAAAAAGTATATGAAAAATAGTTAAAATAGTCATCTACAGCAATTTCATATGGTATTTAAAATAGTTAAATATTTAACATATTAAGTCATCATGAGTAACTCCAATTTTACTTAGGTAAGAAACATGGAAGGGAGGGGTTGAAATATGGGTTGAACGTTTCATATGGTATAAATAATTACACTTAAAATTGAGTGGGAGGAAATGCCACTTACAGTTACAACGTGAGGTCATGGCATAGACGGTTACATACAATGAAGGGGTTGAACGTTTGGGTTTTAACGGAAGTAACAAAAAATATGTGGTATAATCATGGGAGCATAATGTATATGAGAATGTTGCTTTGGGCTACACCAATACATTTTATATACCAAAAATACCCTAACCATCATTGATGTTTATAATATTTTAGATTAGATTATTCAATATATTTACATTATTTAATATTTAATATTCATATTATTTGTTGATGTTTATTGTTGAGGTTTATTCCTTCAACCTTCGGGTCCAACACGTAAGCCCAAGGATTTCGAGTGGAGTGTGTGTGAATAAACTAGCCCAAGCAGATGATATGGATTAGAGAGAACAAGAACTAGCAAGTAATTGACTAGGTATTATTATCTCTTAATAACTCCCTAATACAATACTTTTCGCTAAGGCTCCGTCGGCCGTTCGTCTTACAAGGCAGTAGAAGTGCTGCGAGTAAGAATGCTATAGCTAGAGTGCTAAGAATAGAAAGTTGTCAACCCTTTACAATGACATAAATGCTTCTATTTATACCCGCCAATGGGCAGGTGGCTATGCTGACGTGGAAGCCTGTGGATCGCTGGTGTCCCAACCACCAAATCTTCAGCATTAAATGCACTTCCCGCCAGAATCTAGGTTTCCCGCCTAAATAGTGGGGACGTCCGTCCGCCCGGGAAGCGAGCTGGATCGCTCCAAGTGATCCTCAAGAGGTATCGGCTGCTCGTCTCCTGGCCTTGATGGATTCTCACCATGTGGACTGGATCCCCCCGATGACTATAGGCTTGCTCTGGAGACGTTCGTCGTCATCCCCGATGGTCCATGGTTCTGCTCCTTATTCCTCCATAGGCGCTCGTTGAGATGGGCCGTTGGGCCTAGGCCCTATTGCAGACGTCCGTCTGACTTGAAGGAACATGGGCCTGCCGTCCACCTGTGCCCTAAGTAGATGTACGTCTGGTTGAAGGGGTGAGTGGGTCGGACCTCGACTTGGGCCATTAACCCAACACAAGTCCCCCACTTCTGATGTTCTGAGCATGCGCAGGACATAAGGAAGTATGAAGTCCCTCAAAGTAGACGTTCGTGTCTCGATACTCCATGTTCTATGGCAGCTGGTGGAAGCGTACGCTCGTGGTCATGATGAGTACAGCTGTCGCCGGTTCAGGAAACGAGGTGACGGCTGCTATAGCGGCGGTGCATTTTCCGAGGAAATATCATCATTACGCTTTCGCCCCACGCACAGCGCGTGAGCCGGAATACGCTCCTTGCCACGTGTCAGCCCCTCGTTGGTTCCCCCATCGGTGTTTCTCCTATAAATGCCGGGTTTTCCCTCTGGATTAGGGTTCCCAATTTCTGCTCTCTTGCTCCCGAGTTCCTGCTGCTCTTCAAGTCTTTTCCCGCTTCCGAGTCCGGCCATTCTCTTGTAAGGTAATTTCTATCCTCTGCTTCTTTTACCTGTCTTGAACTCTCGCCGAGATGGTTTCGATGGAGATCTCGTCAAGTTCTGGTTCTGGTTCGTCGGGTTCCTCTTCGGGATCCTCTTCCAACTCCGGTTCACGCTCTTCAGACGAAACTAGCACTTCCGGTAGTTCTGGCTCGGCTCCTACCGTGGGAACTGTTCAGGCCGGGAAAGCCCGAAATGGTGTTGTTGCGACTGTCCCTGGTGAGGAGGGTACTAACTCGGGGGAGCAGGACAATATGGCCCTCGATGTGGTGGACCCCGTGGCTGACGTCGGGGAACAGGAGTCCGCTAGTGAGGACGGTCGTCCGGATGGATATGACTCTGGGGTCGAGGCCCAGGATGGCTCTGACATCGAGGTGTTTAATCTTGGGCTAAAGGTAGATGTGGAGAGGCACCTATGCCCGATCAAGAATGTCCTTTGCCACGAGCATATCTTCTCGCCGGTAGCCCTTAACAAGCTCAAGGTGTTCTTCCCCCCTCCGTCCGTATACAGCCTCCGTGGCGCCACCCATGTGATGAGAAGTCGCCCGGGGATGGTTATGGTGCTTCTGGACTCCATCGAGGCCGGGCTGCGTTTTCCTCTCCACCCGTTCTATGTGGAGTTCTTCTGCTGTTATCAAATAGCCCCTGCTCAGCTTATGCCGAATTCATACCGGTTTGTCTCCGCCTTCCTGGTCCGTTGCAAGGACAATGGGGTCACTGCCACCCTGGACTTGTTCCATTACTTCTACCGGCTCACCCCTCAAAATTCTGACGGTTTCCTAAGCATCGCCGCTCGTCCGAAACGGAAGCTGTTCAGCGGCGCACCGAGTTCTATCCACGATTGGAAGAATCGGTTCTTCTTTGTGCGGTATGCGGATGCTCGTCTGCCCTTGCGGTGGAATGGCTATCCGCCCAAGATAGGGTCTCCGGCTCTGTCCGATGATCTGGAGGGAGACATCAGGAAGATCTCGACGGGCGGCATCCGGCCCTTGGATGACTTCCTCACTTTCGAGTCACTCACCGCGGCAGGAATAGGTACCGCCCATGCTCTTGGACTTCCCCCCTCCTACGCTCGTCTCGGGGTACTGGGCGGTCCTGACCTCTGAGGTGAGTGTCCCGAGTTATTCCTGACGTTCGTCCATCTAACATTGTCATTTTTGCTTTCTCCAGGTCTTCCCCCGACCCAGGAACAAATGAATCACGAGAAGCTCATGAAGACAAGGAAAGGCAAGGGTGCTGCCGCCGATGCCGCTCTCGCCAAGGCCAAGGCGGTTCAGATGGCCGATTCCAACTCTTCTGCCTCCCAGGCCGATTGTCGCACGGTGGAGGCCGAGCAGCATCTTATCGCCACGGTGATGGCGCAGGGGTCTCAGGCCCCGATCCCAGGTTCTGGCGCCTCCGATGTTGTGGCCCCCTTGCAGACCGTCCATCCCCACGACGGGGAAAAGGCGAAGGACAAGAAGTCCAAAAGGCCACGGGGGGCTGGCTCTTCGGCCCCTGAAGTGCAAGAGTTGATCCTTCCCTCTCTTGGGCGTCCGGCGCATGACGTTTGGCAGGAGATTGCTTCCCTGGACGGCGTGGAGGTGCCTCCCCGGACGTCCTCGGAGGCTTCCAATGCGGCTCTGGCCGCCGCTCTTCAGGTGAGACTTCTCTCCCCGCCGGGTACTTGATTATCCCATTCTGATGTTCTGGAGTCTCACCTTCTGTGTTTGATTTGTAGGTCGGGCTCTCCGTTCTTCAATCTGAAGCTGCCCGAGATGCCGAGGTCCTTCAGGCAAAGAACAAAGCGGACGCGGCTTTGAAGAAGGCGAGAGAGGCCGCTCGTCTCCAGGAGAAGGAAATGGCGGCCAAGGACAAAGAACTGCAGGCTGCCCTGGAGGTGGCTCGCGAGTCCTCCGCAGGGATCGCAGTTCTGGAGAAGGCCGGGTTCAAGCTCGTCTCGGCCCTCCCTGCTCCCAAGGATGAGGCCCCTGAGTGGCTCGTCGATGATTCCGGGTACCATAATTCTGGGGCCTTCATGATCGCCGCCCAGAGGTACCTCGGGGGCGCTTTCGGCGATGTATTCGCCGCCGAGCTGCAGAAGCGTGCGCCGAAGGATCGGCTCAAGTTCGGGGTCCAGGTCCTGGAGAGTGCCCCCCTGGCCGAGAAGTTCCTGTATGATGTTGGAGATTCCTCCTTCGTCATTGGCTATAATGAAGGGGTGAAGGCCACACTGCCGGTCTTTGCCGCTCTTCAGGGCCCTGATTTCAACCTGGCTCAGCACACCACAGACCCTGAGTTGATCCGGGCGGTGGGCAAGTTGGTGCGGGACGCCCGGCGGGAGGAGGCTAAAGCCAGGGGTGAGGTCCCGGAGCCTCCGACCCCCGAGCCCGAGCTCGAGGAGGAAGAAGAACCCATTCCCGGGGGGTCCCGGCCGGTTTCCCCAAATTTTGTTTAGCGTAGCCTGTAATCTCTTTATTATGATTCTGTAATATCCGGCCAGTAGAGCCGAGGAATACACAACTCTTTTTGCCCCTTCATTGTCTCTACGTTCATGAACTCTTCCTGTTTTCTTTTATCGTTAGTAGTATTTTGCTCTCATGGGATATAGCCCAAGTTCGTGAGGACGTTCATGTCCATAATCCGTTTACCCCACATGTGTAAACCGCCCCCAACGCCGTACGTCAGCAAAAAGACGTACGGGGATGTGACCGTATTCTCCCGGATCAGAGTTGGTGAAGACGTCCGTCACGTGGTTATAGGCATAACCGTCCGTGACGTTCGTCTGTATAACTAGATGTGGGGATACGGACGCACTCCTCAGAAACAATGCCTTGATAGAGAAGTCCGTCGCGTTAGGAATAGCATAACCTTTTACGCCTTGTGTTTAAACCAGATATCATACGCACGTCTTCCCGTGAGTTTAGCCTGTGGGTGCGGTCTCTGTGTGCCCCTATGGGGGACGTTCGTGGCATCAAACCGGATTCCTTCGCGGTAATTGTGGGGTGGTAACGTCGAGGTGCCTTTAATACCGTGGTAGGTACCAGTATCCAGGCGCCACGTGTTCCACCGTGATTGGCGCGATCCCGCGGTGCTGTCTATAAGTACCCAAGGTCTTGCGAATTCCCCATTTGCTTCATCCCTAGCTCTTGTGCTGCGCAACCACTTTCTCTCTCTAGCTTTTCTCGGCACTGCCTCAGGCCCCGACACTCGTAGGTACCGAACGTCGTCATGTCTTTGTCCATGCTGGGACCCCAAACTACTGATTCAAGGACCCGAAACAGCTCGTCGTCCACCGGGGATAGGTTTGACGATGGGTGCTCCTCTGGTGATGATCTAGAGTTCTATGAGTGGGGTATGCCACCATGGCCCCCCCGACATCACCTGAATTTCTCCGGCGTTCGTCGTCAGCGCCAGCGTCTTTTGAACGCTGACCGTCGGTTGATAAGCCAATGGTTCCTTCCCCCAAGGGGTTACGACGACCGACGTTTGCGCAACCCCATGCGCCATCTGCCCGGCTATGTGGTGGTCCACTTAGACTCCGTTATAGCCGGCCTTCTTTTTCCCCTTCATAGCTTCCACATAGAGCTTTTTAGGAGCCTCAAGGTGACACCTGCTCAGTTCGTCCCCGCCGCTTATAGGATCATCGCGGGTTTTATAATTAGATGTCACAGTGTTGACGTGACCCCCACCGTAGATCTGTTGCAACACTTCTTCCGGTTATCCCCCTTCGGACGTACGGGGTACTTAACCCTGATTGCGCGTCCGTCCATGGTTCTGTTTTCAAACAACGCCGGGAACCCGGACGGCTGGGAGGAGCGGTTCTTTCTCGCCGAAGTAGGCTCCCCGAAGCCATTCTCCGATAGGTGGAACGCCTACCTGGTGAAGTCCATCCCGCCGCCTATGACGGATGAGGAGCTTGGCTATGCCAAGCGCATAGCTGGTCTTGGCGTCCAGAACCTCCGGTCGCTGGTGGCCGAGCCTTTCAAGGCCCGGGCCGGGCTAGGTGCGTCTATTTGTACTTGTATTGTCCTGTCATCCCTTTCTTGTTATGGTTCTGAACGTCCTGACTTTCATTCTGCAGGAGTTTTCCCATCCACATCATCCATGGGACGTACCAACATTTCCTCGCATGCCCATGGCCGCAACAACGAGGATGAGGATAAGGGCAGGAAGCCGCTCGTCCCCAAGACCGAGTCTCGGGCGAGTAGGAGGCGGTCAGACGATGTGTCGGAGGCCGGGGCTTCCAAGAGGCCGCGCATTGATGGTACTGCCTCCAAGGCCATCATAGTTGCTGACGACTCCGATGGTGAGCCTGGGAGTCCCTTGAAGCGGAGACCTTCCCAGAACAAGCCCCCTGTTTCTCCTCCGCGGAACTCCGAGGTCCATCGCCTCCGGGATGAAGATGTTCATGTTACCAAGGGTTCTGACGATGCTCGTCCCCCTTCGCCTTTAGAAACCAATGGGTCCTCCCTTGGCCTTATAGAGTTCTCCGGGGTTGGCCCTCGCAAGGAGTCGATGATGCTCTTTGGTCAAACCGCGTCTTCCATCTGGTGTGGCCTCAACCTCAAGGTCCCCCAAGATTTCGCCGCTCATGAGGCCCCCGAGGATCTTCTGGAATGTGGGCAGAGCACCCTAGACAAGGTCGGGCTCTACTTCCACATGGCTTGGATGGCCTTTGAGCATCAGGGTAAGGAGATGGCCCGAGTGCGGGCAGAGTGTGATGCCCTTCTGAGGAACGCCAAAGGGAGGGCCGGGACGCTCCAAGAGAAGGCCGACGCCTATGATAAGCTGGCCCAGGAGAACGCCTCTCAGAAGGAGCTCCTCAGGAAGCAGGAGGCCGAGCTCGTGGACCTTCGTAGCCGGCTGTGGGCCGTGGAGCAGGCAAAAGTGGAAATCCGCCGTACGGGTGTGGATAATCATGTCCCCATCTATGAGGCCGATGTTTCGAAGATCAAGGAATCTGGTTCCATTGAGTTCCAGAAGTCCAAGGCTTACATTGGTGCTATTCATACCATGGCCATGAGGTTCCTTCCGAGGCTCGTTGGTGAGTTTTTGGCCACCTGTCCGGACCCTTATCTAGATGGCGTCAAATTGCTCCAGGCCACTCCCACTGGGGAACGCTTCCTCGATGATCTTGCCGACGATACTTATCTCAAGGGTATGGTCGGCCTTGTGGCAGAGAATCTCCCGGTCTTCGAGCGTCATTTTGGAGCTCCCTTTGACCCTGCTGCAGCCGGCTTCGATTTTTTGATGGCAGACGCCCATAAGGGGGCCCTTGAGCTGCTGAGGGAGCGTAAAGAGCGCGAAGAAGCTGAGGCCAGGGAAAAGGCCAAGCAAGTCTCCTTCAAGGTTCCAACTCCGGATGTTGACCAAAATTGATTCTCCGCTCATAGTTTTGTACTTGTACCCATTTTTCCATTATGTACATTGTACCTTACATATTGTACCTTCCGGTCATCAGTACCGAAGAATAAGAATCATTGTTTGCTCCATGTTCGTCTAGCTCCGATCATTTTTTTTTTGGAGTCTTTTATCAGTCTTTGTCCTTCCCAAGCTTCGTGATTACTTGTCTCCTGGCTTCGCAGGAGACGTTCGTCATCCCCACATTGAGAAAAACAGGTTTATCCGCGTCGGGATTCCCTATCTCCGTTCGTCCCCAGATGTGAACAACTAGTCTTCTGGCTTCGCAGAAGGCATTCGTCATCCGCTCATCAGGGGGAGGAACTAGGCTTTGTTCGTCCTTGTCGGGACCCTACTAATCTTCTTACTTCGAAGAAGACGTTCGGTATTCACCGATCGCAAGGAGGTCACTGGTTTACCCTATCGCGGGTTCCCTGCTTCGTCGTCCCATGCTCGTGGCCCTACTAACCTTCTGCTCTGGCAGAGGGTGTTCGTCGATCCACGGGAAACGGGAGGAACTGGTTTATCTTGCCGAGGTTCCCTTTGGTACGTCTAGCCTCCCCCACGTTCCTACTAACCTCCGCGTCGGGAGACGTTCGTCATACGTGGTGAAGGAAGATCAGGCATACCTCGTCAAGACTCCCTCTCTCATAGGAGTCGTATCTCCCCTTCTCCTCGTTTTTTTTTTTGAGGAGGAAATCATTTCAATAGCACTTCGGCTTTAGTCTCCCTGTAGGAAGTAAAAGACAGGAAGTAATCCTTTTAATATAGAGGCGACGATCGTTAGTGTTACACGGTGCTTCGACCAGAAATTACAAAAGCGATCTATCTCTAACTATTGGTAGAATTTCTTCAAGTGTTCGACGTTCCAGATCCCAGCGTGGTTCCCCTCCAAGGTATGGAGGAGGAACGTCCCCTGGTTATATCTTCTGATGACCCTGTACGGCCCTTCCCAATTCCTGGCCATCTTGCCACCTTCGAGTGGTTTGCTCTTCTCCCTCTTTCTGAGTACGAGGTCTCCAACTTCAATTTCGCGGATCTTCACTGCCTTGTTGAAGTACATTTGGGTGGCTCGGTGATATTCCTCCATGCGACGAGCTGCTAGATCCCTTCGTTCCTCAATGAAATGGAGCTCCGCTCGTAGGTTTGCCTCGTTGTCCTCCGGCTGGAAATGCTTTGTGCGATGTGTGGGTACTAGCACCTCCGTTGGCACCTTGGCCTGGAATCCATATGCTAGGGCAAAAGGTGTTTCGCCGGTCGCCGTCCTTGGGGTAGTCCTATACGTCCAGAGTACGTAATTGAGCTGCTCCGGCCAGGTGGACGCGTAATCTTCCAATTTCTTTTTGATCCCATCCATGATGGTCCGGTTCATGTTCTCCACCTGGCCGTTGGCCTGCGGGTAGGCCACTGAGGCCTTAGAGTGCCTGATGCCCCACTTCGCCAAGTATGCCTCAAATCCTCTGCCGACGAACTGCCGGCCGTTGTCGGTGACGACCTGCTCTGGAATCCCGAAGCGGCATATGACGTTCTGCCAGAGGAACCTCTGACATTGATATTCGGTGATGGAGGCAAGCGGCTCGGCTTCTACCCACTTTGTGAAGTAGTCAATTGCCAAAATGACGAACTTCCTTCCGCCGGTCGTCGTCGGGAGAGGACCCAACAGGTCTATGCCCCATCTGGCAAAAGGTAATGCAACCGTCATTGGAGTGTAGAAACTTGCTGGCCGTCCGGGGACAGGGGCATATTACTGGCACACCGCACACTTCCGCGTGTGATTGAAGCAGTCCTGCTGGATGGTCGGCCAGTAATATCCCTGCAAGATGATTTTCCGGGCCAAGGTACGGGGACCCTGGTGGCTGGAGCAAATGCCTTCATGTATCTCCTCAATAACGGCCGCTGCTAAGCTCGGCGGGAGGCATCTCAAGTACGGCCCGCCGAACGTCTTCTTGTAGAGTTTTCATCAATGAGCTCGAAGTTGGGGGCACGCCTTTTTACCCAAGCTGCCTTTCCGGAGCTGCCATCATCATTCGGCCCGGGGAGCGTCCCATCTCTGAGATAGTCGGCAATTTCCT